TTGGTTGGTTGGTTGGTTGGTTGGTTGGTTGGTTGGTTGGTTGGTTGGTTCGTTGGTTGGTTCGTTGGTTGGTTGGTTGGTTGGTTGGCTGGGTTTTTTTGTACGCAGGAAGGTGACTGATTTTTGGGAGTTAATTTTGTATCCAGCTCATACTGGGAATTTTAATTTCTTCAAAAAGCTAGTTATGTCATTATGCTTTTTTTTCTTAATACCAGGTGTGGGATATGGGGCTTCTTCAGTTTGTCCACACCTGTTAACTATGATTGTCTCAAACTCTAGGAGGGGCATGACCTTTGCCGGTTGAAGAGAGTTTAATTCTGGAGACTCAGAAGAGGATCTAAATGCCAGAGGCCCGAGAAAGCAGAGGATACACTGAGGCAGCTGCTGCTCCCCATTTTCTTGCCTCCACTGCTCTTTCATTTGCTATTGCTGGATTACTGGATTACTGGATTGCTGGATTGCTGGATTGCTGGATTGCTGGATTGCTGGATTGCTGTTTGCTGGGTTGTTGGATTGCTGTTTTGCTGGATTGTTGAATTGCTGGTTTGCTGGATTGCTGGATTGCTGGTTTGTACCTTCTTTCTCTCCTACCTAGGGTTGGTGGGGTGGAAGAAATTATGGTGGAATAAGCATTGGAAGGAAGGTAGAGGGATAAGAACCCAGTAAAATAATAAACAAATACACCAACACCAGCTACTTTGTCGAAAGTGTTTACCAGCTGTAGATGTTTCCTGGTGGAATTTTTCAGGTCATTTATGCATATTATCATGTCATCTGCAAATACAGGTGCTTTGACTTCTTCCTTTCCAATCTGTATCCTCTTGATCTCCTTCCATTGTCTTATTGCTCTAGCTTAGAATTCAAGTACTATATTGAATAGACATGGAAAGAGTGGACAACCTTGTCTTGTTCCTGATTTTAGTGGAATTGGTTTGAACTCCTCTCCATTTAAGTTGGCATTGGCTACGGCCTTGCTATAAACTGTCATTGCTATTTTGAGGTGTATCTGTAATCTCTTCAGGACTTTTATTATAAAGGGGTATTGTATTTTTGTCAAAGTTCTTTTCTGCCTCTAAAGAGATGATCATGGATTTTTTTTTCAGTTTGTTTATATGGCAGATTTCATTTATCAGTTCATGTAAGGTGAGCCATCCCTACATCTCTGGCATGAAGCCTACTTAGTCATGGTGGATGATTGTTTTATGCAGTCTCGGATTTGGTTTGAAAGTAATCTATTGAGGTGGGGTTTGTTTTTTGGTTTTTTTTTTTTTTTGCGTCTGTGTTTAGAAAAATTGATCTGTAAACTATCTTTCTTTGTTGGGTATTTCTGTGCTTTGGGTATCAGGGTAACTATGGCTTTGTAAAATGAATTGGGCAGTGTCTTTTTGTTTCTACTTTGTGGAATAATTTGAGGAGCACTAACTCTTCTTTAAGAGCCTGGTAGAATTCTGCACTAAAACCATCTGGCTCTGGTCTTCTTTTGGTTGAGGGAATTTTAATGACTGCTTCTATTTCACTAGGGGTTACAGATACATTTCTATCGCTTATCTGTTCTGGACTTAAGTTTGGTAAGTGATATGTATCAGGCAAATTATCTGTTTCTTTTTGTTTTTCCAATTATGTGGAGTGCAAAGGTTTTTTATTAATTAATTCCTTTATTTATATCCCAGATGTTGCTCCCTAGTCCTCCCTAAAAGAGTTCTTCCCCCATCCTCCCTCCCACAGACAAAGCCACCAACCAAACAGCATACACAGGCTGGTCCTAGACCCTGGCACATATGTAGCAGAGGACTGCATTCTCTGGCCTCAGTGGGAGAGGATGCGCCTAATCCTGTAGAGACTTGATGTCCCATGGAGGGGGGATGCCTGGGGGCACCCTCTCAGAGTGCAGGTTTTTAAAAATACGTTCTTATTGTTCTCTGGATTTCCTTAATGTCTGTTGCTCTGTCCCTCTTTTCACTTCTAGTTTTGTTCATTTAAATCTTCTCTCTCCACTTTTTAGTTTTTTTGGATAAGGGTTGGAAGATCTTACTGACTTTACTGTATTGCTTTTTGTTTGTTTCTGTATTATTGACTTTTATCCTCAGGTTTGATTGTTTCTTGCCATCTACTTCTTTTGGATGTGATTTCTGCTTTTTATTCTAGTAGAGCTTCAGGTATGCTGCTAAGTTACTACTGTGAGATTGTTCCAATATTTGTGTGTATGTGTGTGCACATGAATGTATGTGTATGAGAGTGCATGCATGTGTGTATGTACTCTGTTTGTGTGTGTGTGTGTGTGTGTGTGTGTGTGTGTGTGTGTGTGTGTGTGTAGGCTCTTAGTGCTATGTGTTGGGAGCCGACTCTGAGCAGAAAGTGGCTATTATCTTTGCAGCCATCTTGAGTCATATACCTTGACAAGAGACAGCCTACAACAGCTGAGCACACTCTGATAATTATCTTGATCCTTTCAGTCAAGGCCAGGCAGTGGTAACACATGCCTTTAAACCCAGCACTTGAGAGACTCAGGAGAGATATAAAAGGAGAAGCCAGAGCAGACCGACTCTGGGCAGACAGACTAGACAGACTCGACAGAGAGACAGACAGATGAGACAGA